TATAAAGAAATGAACGCGAAAGATATGATTATATTTAATTAATTAAAATATGAAGATGTTAAATAAAATTTAACATTTTTCAGCTCGAATGGGTAATACTACTACAAAGAATAATTATCATAATAATCAGAAGTATACTAGTCAGGTATATATTTTCTGAGATTGTTATAACCTCTATAATCTAAATAACATTATTAATAAAGCGAATTAATTAAATGTTTTCGTATTTCAAATGATAAAGTATAGTAACTAATGCTATAATTTTTCCTATATAGTACAGTCTTAGTGATTTAATTGGTGGAAGCTGCATTGGATCAGTGCAATCTTCACATAAAGAAACTAAATCATGGTCTCGTGGTTCTTGCAGAAGGTAATTTTAGGACATTATAAGTTTACTGTATTTAGTAATGTAATGTATATGTAATAATTGTTTGATTTTTTAGCTGGAGCGAAGGTACATTATATGATCCATTGGGTACCTCAAAAACATTATGGCCAGTATCACGTTCTCAGGCTATGTTTCTTCCAGAATTTCAAATAAGACAAGTATCCTTACAAAGTGCTTATATATTTTTAAGTGTGATAGCCAAAGGAGCTTATGGAAAAGTATATAAAATTCTAAAACAGGACACTGGACAATTCTTTGCGTTAAAAGTAATCAGCAAAGCTAAAGTGGTTGCAGAAAATGGTGTATTGCAGGCTAAACAGGAAGTATGTATGCTGCATGAATTAAATGAATGTCTATTTCACTTATATTGCAATTTCATTTAAATTTATATTTAATATTAGGTGTCTATACAAAAATTGGTTGGTCATCATCCATTTATATTAGACTGTTCTCATAGGTGGCAAGGAAGAAAGACATTATACATATGTAAGTTTATTCTTTTTACATTATTATTAATTATTATTGGATACTTTTCTCAACATTCATTGATTTCAGTAACTGACTATATTGGTGGAGGAGAATTATTTTCACTAGTCGAACAATGTGGTCCTCTACCTGAAAATGTAGTTAGAATATACGTAGCAGAAGTTGCTTTAGCTCTTGGTAACTACATTCTGTTCTGAATTAGTAATAGGATATAAAATATAATTTATAGCTTTTTCTGTTGTTCTGTTAAAGATTTTTTACACAATGCTGGTGTGGTACATAGGGACATAAAAGCCACAAATGTTCTGCTAGATGAAGAAGGTCATGCTGTAATTATTGATTTTGGTCTTGCAAAATGGTTAAATCATATGGAAAGAACAAATACGCTTTGTGGAACTCCAGAGTATATGGGTAAGCATTAAAATATATCTAGAATGTAATATTTATATTGATTACATACATTTTTATTTGGTATACTTATTGTAGCACCAGAAATATTTAACAGGCAGTATTATGGGCAAGAGGTAGATTGGTGGTCATTGGGAGTACTAGCTTGCTTTATGCTTACAAATCAGGTAGGTGCGAATTATATCTGTTTTTATATTAAAGCAGTTTTAAGTATTGTGCTAGATAATAATTAGTTAATCATTCAAACGAAGGAAAGCATATAAAATACTGACTAGAATATGTTATTTTAATTTAAATTTCAATTTATTGAAGTTAAAATTATCGTTATTAGTATATTATATACGTTATACTAAAAAATATTAGTATGTACGAGGTATGACTATCCTGAAGCAAATTCCAAGCACTAGACTCCGTGGCGCAACGGTAGCGCGTCTGGCTCCAGATCAGAAGGTTGCGTGTTTAAATCACGTCGGGGTCAAACATTCATTTTTGTTATTTTTTTTGTTCACTATTACCATTTGGAATTTGAAACAAAGTTTATACATTAATTACCAGTACAATTACAGTTAATTAAAACTCGGATTGTTGTTATTTCATATATTTGGTGTATTTCTTTGCGTATATAACAAACGAGTTCCTTTTTATCAATATTTTAATGCAAAAATATAACCGCCGTGCAGCTTTTAATTTTTAAACTTTACATAAGTAACAAATTCAAACGAAAGA